AAAACATCCATCATACTTTCCCAGCAACTAGAACCTGGCCCCTTGGAGACCGGGCATGATCATACAAATGGCTGGGCATTTGTCTACTTATGTATGGACTTCACTGCTCTTTCCTATCTCTCTGCCCAAATTCTGCTCATTCTTTAAAAACCTGCTCAGATCACCCCTCCTTCATTATATTTTCCAACACCTCCTAGTAGAAATTCTTTCTCTTTCTCCTGTGCCCATGACACTTTTGGCTTTCCACTAAGCACTAACCAAATCTTGGTCAAAGCTTACGTGTGTGTGTGTGTGTGTGTGTGTGTGTGTGTGTGTGTGTGTGTGTGTGTGTGTGATCCCTTGAGCTCCTGAACATCTCAGGGATAGAATAATCTCCTGACCTTGTCGTGAATTAATCAGATCACTATTTGGAAAGAACATACCTTTAGGGAGCCAGTTTTCATTTTCAGAATGGCGCTGGGAGGGTGGATTAATAATCAGTGGCTTTTCTTTTTTAAGCAAAGACCACAAACCACTTTTGAAGCCAAGAAAAAGATGTGATTGGAGGCAAATAAATCAGTACCTTTAATCCTCCACTGAGTTTGAAAAACAACAAAATGTCAGCTTCCACCAGATCATTTCTTTTTAATTAAAAGTTAGCTGAATTCTTTTATAGGGCTCAATTTTCTGGTCAAGTCAACAAAAAGGAAACAATGCCATCCACCCCACCCCACCCTCGCCCCCCTGTCTGCCCATCCCCACTCATGGAATTAGGCAACCCTTGGGGGCGGCATACATTTCAGCTGTTTGCTCTGCGCTCATAATTAGATTGTCTAGACAGGAGATGTTGCTGGAGCAATAGAAAATATTTTACAAGGTGTTCTGCAGAACCACTCTTATAACAGTGATTAGAACGCACTGACAGACGCGAAGCCAGCAGAATCAGCCTGGGCCACGAGCCGATTTCACCAGAGTAAAGCAGAGGCCCTTTGAAGCTCTTGTCTGAGGATCAGAGGCCAAATTAGAACTCTGGGGGCACAAAGCAGCTTCCTGGCCTTTGGACCCCAGGGAGCAAGACTGAGAGTATGGGGTAATGTCTGGAATGTCCTCCTTCTCGCCTCCAGGTGTCAACAGGGGGCGGCTCCTAACTGCTGTTTTGCCAGCATCTCTACAAGCAGTTTCTGAGGCCTCATTTTTGCAGCATCGTCTGTCCCTTAAGTTTACAGAACACAAACTTTAATGGTAAATTTAAAATGGAAAGATAAGTGTGTGATGCCTACTCTTACAGGAAGACATTTCTCGGTCTGACTTTGTCTCTCAGCTTTTGTTAGCAAAACCATGTGCAAATAGCAATATTTTCCAGTAGAAAACCTCTTTAGAAACATTTTTTATTGGAGTTATTGATTTGGTAAATCATTTAGTCCTCTAAGATGAATGACTTCTGGAAAATTGCTATATCAATAGAGGAGTAGCACAAAAGTACAGAATTTGAAGACCAAAACAAACAAACAAACAAAAACAACAACAAACCCTTAGAGATTTTTAAAATGAGGAAGTTGAGAGATTCAGCAAGGAGAGGAGAATTATATTAAGAAAGTGGATGAGGCTCTAGGTCCCTGATGCTTACACCAGTAAACCGGTATCTTTCTATCAAACCTACTATAAAACCTTGCCTCCTCTAAATACTGCATACCAGACACTTTTCTAAGCATATTATATGTATTATCTACTTTTTTTCTCCACACAAACTGGGACAGATACCATTACCCTCTCCAGTTTACAGAGGGCACTGAGGCCAGAACTGTGGTCTGACTATCCTAGGTCACTAGAAGCAAATGTAGGACTGGCTCCCAGGCGGCCTTCAAACTGCTCTCTAACAAGACTTGACCTTCTCATCTCAGAGTTCAGATGGGAACAGAGCTAAAGAGAGGGGACCCATTTATTCTGAAAAACCACAATGCATTTGAAGATTTGGGAATTAGGTGCATGACAAAGGGAATATTTGAAATCAGATAATCTCCTGTTTCAGACCCCACCACCTATTTACATGATTACTGACAAATCACCTGAAGACTCAGAGTCACAGTTTTCTCATCATTATCTAGTGTGGGCATATTAAAAAATAGGAAACAGGGGTGATTTGACAAGTAAATAGAAAATTTTAGAACTCCTTAAGTGAAAATTTAAACTTATTTTATTTTTACACTTTGCAATTTACAAAACACTTTCACATCCATCATTTAAATCTTCAATGAACTGAATGATAGCCCTGGCAGAGATGTTCTAGTATTGACATTTTATAGATAGAATAGTGAAAGCTCAAATAAAGTGACTTGTTCAAATTTAAACAGCAAGAAATTTATGTGGTTACAACTATTCATAGCTCTACCCTTATGCTTAAGTCTCATAGAAGCCTCATCTTCTTCTCTTTGTCCCACAGTTTGGATTATGAAATTAATTTTTAATTAAAATATGATAGTATGTTTAATTATAATAGAACTAAGATTTAGGGTTTGCATCTCAGATAAGGAAAGTTAACAACTAGTTACACTGGTGGATAAAACAGGCATTTTACCATTTCCTGGTTTTGTCTCTAGGGAATGTTCTAATCCTTGGAGAATCTGCCTTCATCCCACAAATAAATGATCCACAGCCTTTAGTTGTCCTCTTCATTGTCTCTCTCCCTTTACACTGAGCCAAAGGCAAACAGTGAATAAAATAAAACAACTCTGTTTTGTAAGCACCAGTATGTGGGATATGCTGGCACATGTTCTGCTAAGTTCCAATAGTCCTCTTCGTGACTTCTTAAGAGAAGCAGAAGCTACATTAATAGAAGTTATCTTCACCCAGAGAGACAGAGAAGAGGAAAGAGGATGATAAAACAGGCAGGATCATAGAGCAAAAGAGGGAAGGGAAAAGAAGAGAGAAGAAGGAAAGATAAGGGAAGAGGATAGACCAAGGTAACATATTATTTATTTAAAAGAAAGAATACTGAACAAAGAATTGGAAAAACTGACTTTAAAACCCAGCTTCAATACTAATTAGCTAATTGTTCTGAATCCCTGAACCCCTTTTGGTCTCACTTGTCTCATCTCTAACATGTAGTTAATCAGCCCTACTAATTCTTGCAAGTTGAAGATCAATGGCACAGGGTAGGTAAAAAGCTCCTGGCAAACACTGCCAATATCACCACCTACAGCTAGTGGGTGCTAATGTTAAATCATTGCATTTTCTCATAACAATGGGATCTGCTCAGACTGCATCCAGGCTTTCCTTTGAAGTCACTTTAAGATTACTTAGCAGCTGATTTTTCCCTTGCCTCTTCCTCCTTTTTCTGACCTTTGACCTTACAACAGTGACTTAATATGCAACCAAGAATGGCCAAAGGACTTGGAAATAAAGATAACAATCAAATTAATCTACTTAGTTTCATGTTAACAAAAGCTTTTATCTGGGAGAAAATCAGAACTTGTTAACACTTGATATCTTTGAGGCATATTACAAAGTGCTTTCAAGCTATCTCATTAGAGCCTTACAATAATACTGTTAACGAAGCAGAATTGCAACTAATATGAATGACTCTTTGATAGATAAGGAAACAAAGTTAACAGTTGTAAAATTGTGACTGAAATCTAGGACTCCTAGTCCAAAACTCTACTATGGAAGTTTGCTAAAAGACTGAGCATAACCTTAAAAAAACAAACAAACAAAAAACAAACAAACAAAAAAACACCCCTTCACCACACTATGTTCCTACCTGCAGGGGCTCAGAGACAGCCTTTAACATTTAACAGCATGCCAGCTGCTGGCACAGGCTTTCTCATTCTAACCCCAGAATGCAAATCTGGATAAAGCTGTACAAGTTAATTAGGAGGGCTGGAATTACATCAACTCTCTGTGGTAATAATTGGGTGCCTCATGGGAAATAAAATAAAATATACCATAAAAATGAAATTTGCCTGGCAAAACTAATGAAGAAAGGGAAGTGAAGGATTTGAGAATGTGGGAATAGTGTGAAGAGGCACATTTCTTACTTTTTAGAGAGGAGGCTTAATATACACTATTTAAGAAAAACACCAGAGGAAGCATATTATTAAAATGAGTAACCATTGAAGTAACTACAATGATAATTATAAACAACTTTTAAAAAATGAGTGATGTAGAAGTTTTCATCTTTTTTTTTTTTTTCAAGAAGATGAAAGAAGTGAATTGTCATCAATGTAAATGGGTTTCTATTAGGGAGTCAGTAGATAATATTTAAAAAAGATAGGAATAAGAATGCTATGTTAAGACTTCCAGTCAAGATGGCTGTATGATTTAGACACAAAACTTGCATCTTCCCACAATCATATCAAAATTGAAACTAAACTACAGAAAAATCATCATTCAGAACTGCCTGAAATCTGGCTGAATGGAAGTCCTACAACTAGGGATTTAAAGAAGAAGCCTCATAGAGACTGGTAGGAGGAGAAAGGCAAGAATAGACTGGACCCACACCAGGTGGTGGATAAAAATCAAGAGGGATACCTCTGGCTGCAGAGGTCACTTCTGAGGAGTAAGGGGTCCCAACCCACACTAGGCCGCCAAGCCTAGGGTTTCAGTGCTGGGAAGAGAATTTCCTATAGCTCTGGCTATAAAAAACAATAGAAACTGAGTCTGAGTAAGATGGAGGGTTACTAGTGTCCCAGGCAGTTCCTCTTAGAGAGTACATGCTGATTCTCTGCCAAACAAATTGGTTGAGAAGCTTTCCTCCTACCATGCTCCCACAGTTCTTTCCAACTCATATTTAACTATTTACGTGTCAGTTTTTTCAAAAATAAGTAAAAATTTACTCAAAAATGTAACCCTGACTGACATAGATTAAGAATTCAATGATTGTTTAATGAATTCAGCTCTAGAGCTTCACCATTCTTCCCTTGATTCTTCCAGCTTACAGAGCTGAATTGAACTTTGTAATTGTTTTCCTTAAATGTCCCACCCCTACTGCACCACTTTCCCAAGTTTTAAGACATCATACTCACTTGTCCAGGGACACCCCAGGGAAGACAAACTTGCCCAAGCAGATGCGATAGACAGCACTCAGGGGAATTCGCTGCAACTGCACACAGCTGAGCATGATGAAGTCATACTTGCAAATCATGAGAGTCTTATCTGTGATCACCAAAATCCTCTCCTTCTCATTGTTCCAGTGATCTATCCTGTAAGGGTCATCACAGAGAGTATAATTGATTGCATAAATGTTCCAAGTTAAATACACTGGCATTAACTGAAACATCTTTAGTAACACAGAAGATGGTAAGATTTAATCACTCAGTAAAAAAAAAAAAAAAAAAAAAGAATACCATCTCTTCTTTCCCTCAGTCTGGCTCCATGGTCAAGGTAGGAGGAAGGGTGGAAGACCTCAGGGAAATTTCTTTATTGCCAGGAAGCTTAGAGATGGTTACCAATGATGGGATCCAGTAGGAGAATAATAAGTTTGCATCATATTGACTGTCAACTGATTCATGCTCCTCCTTATCTTCGGAGTTCTGAAGGAAGCACATCCTCATTAAAGCACATCTTCCTTCAAGGACACCAAACACATCTCTTTGTTCTAACACAATCAATCTTCACTACAAATATTTTTCACCAGGCACTACTTTATGCTAATCTCCAAAGATCATATTGCTGATTAAAGATAAAACGAGAACTTGAACATAGGTCCACTGATTCCCAACACTATTTTAAGCTCATCTATCCTATCATATCTTGTTGTAGAAACAGAGTGAAATGAGTGAAGTGGGATACTTATAAACCAAGGACAAACTAGACACTAGATAACTATGTATTGAGTTGATTTGCTTCAGACTTAAAAGCCTTTCAGGGCATGCATGGAAAATTCTGAGTGTTAAAAATCTGTCCAAAGGAGAACAGGACGTAATCAAAGAAGGTCAAAAATTTATCTCACACACAACCCCTTTGATGTTTGTTTACTATAGCCTTTAGTATATAGAAATTTATGACTTTTATTAGAATTGTTTTAGCACATGTCTTGTCTTCCTTAATATATTAAAAAAGTAATTTGTGATTGATTTATATTTAAATCCCCACTACACAGAATCAACCTAATGTAAAGATAGTATGGGCACCATACTCCTATCCACAGTAACCACAGTGCTATCCTTAAAATATAAAATGGAAAAAACATAACTCTCTATTCACCTTATTAAATAGCCTCTTTTCTATCCTAGGATCAAATCCAAGTTATCTCATGGACTGCAGATCCCTGAATGGTCTGGCACCTGCCCACCATCATCTCACAGTAGGATGAGAAAACTCTTTGTCCAAGTCATGGTTCACAATGCCTCATCCAAAGATGATTTCACAAACTCCTATATAAACTTGGCCCCCTATTACACTCTCTTAAAATGTTCTGATCTTTTTTCCTTTATGGTACTTATCACCATTTGTCAGAAGGAATTCTATGTAAAATTTTTAGTAACAGGTACCACATGGACATTGACAAATCAGAATGGACAACGTAGTACAGCCAGTAGAGCAATGGATGTGAGAAGGACTGAGTAATTATCTATGTGTGTGCACACGTATATGTGTGTGTACTTTCCATGAAGGCAAATGGAGACATGACTAGTATTAATTTCATTAGTTTGGGGAGATAATTAAGGCACTTGATTCTCAATTAGTGTCCTATAAATTAATTGTTATCACTGGCAGGGAACTAAGTCACTAAATAATTTTGGGTAACCAAAATATATGTCATTCCTTGATATATCCTAAAGAAAAATGAGCAGGAAAATATTCAGGAGATACATAAATGGGGAGAGTAATAGGAGGTGATATGAAGGAGAGAAAAAGGGAGAAGGATAAAGAAAAAAAAAAGAAGCAGAAGAAGGAAGGTAAGTTCTTCCATCGGTTTATATCTTCCTCTATCTCTTTTTTCAGTGTCGTGTAGTTTTCTGCATATAGGTCCTTTACTTCCTTAGTTAAATTTATTCCTAGGTATCTTAATTTTTTTGGTGCGATGGTAAATGGAATTGCTTTTTTAGTCTCTGTTTCTATAAATTCGCTGTTGGTGTATAGAAATGCCATAGATTTCTTGGCGTTAATTTTGTATCCTGCTACATTGCCAAATTCATTTATTAAGCCAATTAGTTTTTTAATGGAGTCTTTTGGGGTTTTTATGTACAATATCATGTCGTCTGCAAATAAGGATAGCTTTACTTCTTCTTTTCCAATTTGGATGCCTTTTATTTCCTCCTCTTGTCTAATTGCAATGGCTAGTACTTCCAGTACTATGTCAAAGAGGAGTGGCGAAAGTGGGCATCCCTGTCTTGTTCCTGTTCTTAGAGGGAATGGTTTTAGTTTTTGCCCATTGAGTATGATGTTGGCTGTGGGTTTATCATATATAGCTTTTATTATGTTGAGGTATGATTCTTGTACTCCCACCTTGTTGAGAGTTTTTATCAGGAAAGGGTGTTGGATTTTTTCGAATGCTTTTTCTGCATCAATTGATATGACTATATGATTTTTATCTTGGAGGGGGGCAAAAAAAATCAAAAAAAATATTAAAAAAAAAGACTGAAGAAAGGACCTTTCTTCCACTATTTCAAATACTTAATAGCTAATTTCATAACATCACATGTACCATTTTAAGGAAGTGATGATTTAGTGGGAAATTAGTGCTTTGCATTTATATACTGTAAATATAAATGACGATTTGTTTGAAATGTGTAACTTTGATATGCAAAAGATAATAACTCATAATGTTAATATTAAATATTCCTTCAAAAAAATAAAAAAAATAAACTGATCATATGTAATACTTTCAGCAATAAAGATTTAATTAAAAAATTTAAAAAAATAAAAAAGAAGGAAGGTAAGAAGGATAAGATCATTGATGGAGATCATATCATATGTTGGCTGTTATGTATGTACTAGGAGACCAGTGCACGATTCAAAATCAAGCAGCACTGCCCACCCTCAAGTCACCAGCCTGGCCCTGCCTCGCTCCCTGGATCCCACAGTGGTGGCTGCTCCTGGTCTGGCCCTGCCTCCCTCTCTGGCCCTTGAAGCAGACACAGCTGCTGCTGATCAGGCCCTCCCCCAACACAGACCTGTGGTGGCCCCTGCCACCTCACCTCTGACACTGCACACACAACCTCCTCCAGTCCTGTCAACCCGTTATTGTGTCCCAGTTAATTAATATATATATATATACTGTAAATATAAATGACGATTTGTTTGAAATGTGTAACTTTGATATGTAAAAGATAATAACTCACAATGTTATATATATATATCCCATAGGCCGGGTGCATGAAATTCATGCTTGGAGGGGCTGAGGGTGGTATGTTCCTCAGCCCAGTCTTCACCCTCTCCAATCTGGAACCCCCTGAGGGATGTTTGACTGCCCATTTAGGCCCATTCTGATGGGATCAGGCCTAAACAAGCAGCCAGACATCCCTCTCACAATCTAAGACTGCTGGCTGCCAACAACTTGCCTGCCTGCCTAATTGTCCCTAACTGCTTCTTCCTGCCAGCCTGATTACTCCCTAACCACTCTGCAGCCAGCCTGATTAACACCTAACTGCTCCCCTGCCGACACGATTTCCCCTAACTACCCTCCCCTACAGACTTGTTTGTCCCCAACTGCCCTCCCCTGCAGGCCTGGTTCCCTCCAACTGCCCTCCCATGTGGGCCATCTTGTGGCTGCCATCTTGTCTCCACATGGGGGCAGCCATTTTTACCACATGGGGGTGACCATCTTGTGTGTTGGACTGATGGTCAATTTATATATTACTCTTTTATTATATAGGATAGATATATCAATAGATAGATAGATAGATAGATAGATAGATAGATAGATAGATAGATAGATGATAGATAGATAAGTATTACTTCCCTACGGTCTTTGAAAAAAGTCATTATCTAAAGTCACTTAGCTAGAACATTTAGTGGTACAGTCTGAGAGATCTGATTTAAATCTTGGTTCAAATGTTTCCACCTATTCCAACAACACTACAATATTCAACCCCTACTCACTGAGTGAAGGAGAGAATTCTTAATGATCTTTGTAACACTCTCATCTTAGTCAAAAGGAAAAGGGGACTCTGAAATGTCTTATCAAATATCTACATAAAGTTCTCTAAATAAATTGCATCTATTTAGCAGTAAGTTATGAGCTGCTACCTAATAAACCAGACTTGTTTTTAGTCTGAAAAACCACAGCTTTTGGTTGAATGGTTTTATTGAAAATGTCAGCTCTCCCTAATGAGATTTATTTTAAAAGGTAAAGGATTTAGGGGAAAAAGAGAATTCTTTTTAGGAACACAGAGTGTTCTGCTTTGACACAGACTCTGCATAACTTACATGTTGGGAAAATCTAAATTCAAGTAAACATGCAGACTTATAAATAGTTTGGGGCCACCATCTCTTGCTCCTAGGTGGTATACTTATTTATACTTCAACACACCAGTTTTTTTCCAAAGAACTCCTGAGGGAAACATTGGATTTCATATTCCTAATATTAACATAAATGAAGTTTTGCTGGTGATAATATCCAGCACAAATATAGTAGAAATAACAATAATATATTGTGTTTGTACAGCATCTGGGGATTTACAAAGTCCTTGAATATCATTGCCCTCATTTAATTTCCACAAGGACCCTTTGGACTAGATGTTATAACCCTCATTTTAAACACAATGAAACTAATGTCCAAAGTGACTTGCCCAATGTTTTACACCTAGCAACTGGTAGTGCAGGGACCTTAAATAGGTATTGAGATACCAAATTTAGCAATAGTGTTGCCTTTCTCCCCAATATCATTCACCTCCAATTAGATGACCCTTCATTATGATGTAAAAATGCAGGAAAATCTACCTCTGAAAAGAGCTGGTATGATATGTATCACTCCTAGAATTGTTTTTTCTGGGAAACTTCTCCTCAGGACAACACTCATGACTGTCCTTCCCAAACCTTGTCCTTATTCAATGTTTTCTGTCTTGGGGAAGAACCCTCCTCCATTCAGTTATGCGAGCTGGCTGGAGATGTAGGAGTCATTCTGGATTGATCCCATTTCCTCACCTCACATGCCAAGTCATAAACATTTTACTCTTAAAATCTCAAAACCACATACTTCTCTCCTCTGCCTTTGCCATTCTGATCTAGTCTTCCCTCACCCCCTGTCTGGACTATT